GCGTTTATTTATTTTTGAGATAGAAAGAGAAAGAGAGAGAGCAGGGGGAAGGGGGCAGGGAGAGAGGGAGAGAGGGAATCCCAAACAGGCTCCACAGCTCAGTGTGTAGCCCGACACGGGGCTCCATCTCACAATCATGAGATCATGACCTGAGCCTAAACCAAGAGTCAGTTGCTTAGCAGCCTGAGCAACCTACGAGCCCCTAAAAACAGATATTATACTGTGTAACAGTGAGTACTAGAAATGTGGTGTATGCTACTCCATTTATAAAAAACTGCAATGGCATTTGTGGATTTTTATGTGTAATTTCACCATGCAAAAAAGGCATAAGTATATGTATTTATCTGTAATTTCACTGCATACACATTTGACTCCTATAAGACAGGAGGCTGATACCTGGTGTAGACCTAGACAATGGCCCGGCCTCCATGTTCCAGCAAGATTTATACAATTTCTAGTTGTCATGCAGTATACAGTAATTTATTATTGCTTTTGTGAAAATGGCCCTAAAAAGAAAGCCAAATGCTTTTATTGCATTTATAAAATAAATTTCATACTAGAGTGCTATTCAGCAATTTGGGAATATGTGAGGGTTTTCAGATGGGCTTTACTATGTTTCAGATTGTCTCTGAGAGAAATCTAAGTGAATCCATTATGACATATAAAATAATATTCTGTCTTAAAGCTTAAAGAAGTAAAGCACTTTCCTATAAAATAAACTGCTAAAATACAAAACTAAAGTAAACCTAATGCCTTTTCTCTAAGGTTTAAGCTTAAGGGAACTAGCACAGGCTAGACCTGGAGAACTGGGTTTGCTCTTCCCTGCAGTAATAAAATATGGATGTCAAGGCATATATCTAAAAGCTATTTGCATTTCATACTTTCTGCTACACTGTATAGGGATTTTCTCATCAAACCCTTCACGGAGGCTAAATCAACACATACATAGTATTTATGATAAAACTAATAAGATCTCCTTGGCCACTGATTCTTTTTCTACTCATTTTTTGGGAGATAACATCACAATTAAGTTCCCTTTTTGCTCTATCTCAGATGCAGAGAATCCCTCCTATATTTATTATTGAACTTGATTTAGTAACTACTACACAAGTAAGAACAGATTAACTTTTCTCTTCACTCATTCTGCTGCATGTAACCAGTCCAGATGCTTATTTGGAATCATGATTAGCAGTAGTGATACACAAAACAGTCAAGTGGTTCTCTGCCTTTTTCAGCCCAGCTGTATTACTGTATTAACACACTTTCCACTTTCAGTCCCAGAATATATTTGATGGACCAGTTAAGCAAGCTCAGCTGTTACCATGCTGCACAACTTTATCTAATCAATGCTTACTTTTGCTTTACTAGGTGACTGTATATTAATGTACTATCAATGATTCCCTCAGATATCTGGGATAATCCACAGAAAACAGAGATGGCTAGAGTGGAATTTAAAAAGTTAAAGAAAGGATGCCCTGTCTTCTGCCTGGAAGATAATGCTAAGTTTGTGGTAAGGTTCTGTCTTGAGGGGGATTCTGCATAGATCTCTTGTTAAATCTACTCATGGGCCTATAAGGAAAATGATCAGGGGAAATATACCAGGCTCTTAATAATTGTGTCCCATTCTAGATAAACCACTAATTCACTACTTTGTAGATATGGCCAATGGTTTCATAATGTAAATATTCTCTGGAGAAGTCAAATACAAAGAAACCTTGCTCTGTGTTAACTCATAATCTACTGGTGAGGATTTTGAATATTTGGCCTACAAACACTTAGGAAAGTTTGTGAATGCCTTATCTAACTTGAATTTTTAAAGGCTTTTTTTGCTTGTTTTGCTTATACAATATATACACAATCACTATAGAACATTTAGAAATTGAGGAAAATATGAAGAAGTAGAAATCATCCATAATTTCACCAATTCAATTCATATAATTGGCCCCTACCACAAACAGCATTTTAGTCATATAGATCACTGGTATATTGAACAAGCAGGATTTATATACCAGAGGCAATGCTACTCTGTTTCCTATTGCCCACTCAAAACATACCTAGAGAAGATCCCCAGACAGGTAGATGAAGACTTCTTCTGATAATTGGTAATTTAAAAAGTCTTATAATCAGTTTGAGTCACTTGTCTTAAATAATTAGAATACATAGTCTCACATCATGATCAAAACTCTACCCTTGATTTAAAATTTCATCTTCTTGCCCTCTGCCAGCTCAGGTCTGTTGTTGAGGAAGGAGTTACTCTGTATTCTTTCTTTCCTCATGCACTAATGATACTTATCTATAAATTGAAGGTAATAAGAGTCCCTGCTTCAATAATATGATTATTATGAAGATTAATGTGATAGTACACTTAAAAAGCTTAGAAAAATATCTAGCCCATATTACTATAAATGGGAAAATATAAAGAAGTAGAAATCATCCATAATTCCATTAAACCCAATTTATATAATTGGTCCCTACAGACTGGAGTAAATAACACTGGATAGCTGTGAGCCTTTTTGGGTCAAAAGAAGGTACATCAGAACACGGGGGGTTGGGGGGTGTGGGCAGGCAAAACATTTCTTGGCCAGGAGAAAATAATCCACTCCTGCTAGTCTAGCCCAGACCAGAGAACTTCAGATTTGACCAGGCTAAAGTCGAGTAGCTTAACAAAAATACGTAATTCCTTATACTATTCTATTTATTAGAAAATATACCAATTCAGATTAGTTTTGCTCTTTGGGTAGTTTTTAGGTCAATATGAATTTCTGTTACCTCTCTACTGCTCTATTCTACGTTTTCAAGAGTTGCTATAAACATCAGCACGTTCTCCAGACCAGATGGACTACACAGGAAGCTACTTTGATTTATTTTTTAAAGAGCCAATAATAGACACCGTTTCTAGGTCCCAGGCAAATATATGCATGTATATATAACTATATCTATCTATAGATAGAGATAGATATTGATATTGCATAAATATATAAAGACATATATTTTTCTGCTCCAAGGTCTGGAGACACAGGCCAATCCCAACACAGACACTCCTTTCCTGCTCATTTATTAGATGCTGAGCGTCAAACTCATCTCTTACTTACAGGTTTCTCAGGTGAGTCAGCCACCAGTCTACCATGTTCCCCATATTGCAGAGGACACACATTAAGCCCTCCACATGATTCCATTGAAGCCTTCATCACTAGGCTTGCAATGGAACTTAAATTTCTCCAAAATTTCTATTCATAAAATCTTCTTTCCCCACCATCCTCCAAACCTTTTATACCACAGATGTAAGAGGTTCAACAATAGACTGACATGGTTTTAATGTTTTCCTTTGACACATTGGTGTTGGGTAGGTCACGATGAAACACCCACTCATATATATATTATCATTTGATTAGCTAGTTAGCTATATCTATCTACCAAAGTACTCTAACAACACACATACACTTACTTACACATTAAAGACTCATAATGTGACATGAAACTGCTTGGATGTAAATCCTTATTGTTTCATCTAACTAGCTGTTTGTCTTTGAGCCAGTTGCTTATTCTTTTCCTACCTCAGTTACCTCTCCTGTAAATTGAAGATAATAACAGTCCCTACCTCAACAACATGATTATTGTGAAGACTAAAAAACAACAACAACACTTAGAAAAGTATTTATCCCATATTACTAACATGCTATCTTTAGATGTAACAATAATATAATTATTATTATAATTATTATAAATGTCCTCTCTATAACTTGTTTGACTTAAGAGGATGCTCACATGCTGTTCAAAATTCTTTACCTTGTAATTATACAGTATTCAGCTATACAAATGTAGCATCATTTTCAATACTAAACTGGACATATATAAGATTTCTAAAATCTGCCACATCATTGATGATCTTTATTGTCTGTTTTTTCCCCTTTATAATATATTGATTAAACCAGAATCATTGGATCAAAATATGATTAAATCACTTAATACATATTGACAAATTACATTGCTAAAAAAACTAATATCACATTGATACACACACACACACACACACACACACACACACACACACACACATATATATCAAACAATGTATTTTCAAGACTACTTTAAAATCTGGCCAATTATCTACTATCAGGCATTGATTTAAGTATAAGAGCATCCATAGAAGATAATGACAAAGAAGCACACCTGTTCTCTAGTTTCCTTACAGAGTATACAAACAGATTTCTGGAAACTTTTTTTGGCTCTAGGAAGCAAAAATCTTTAAGGGTTTTATGAAGAGAAACCCAATATATCTTCACAACCAGAGAGGGCCGGTGCCACAACTACACTGACCATTCTTTTTAAATAGAAAAGGGAAATGAAGTAAGAATGAGCAGTAGTGGCTGTCTATCGTGGTGGTTCATTATGAGATACTTAGATACAGCTGCTTTAATTATGTAAGTGCATCTATTGGATAAGTGTTAATAAACTTCTATTTAAATAAAATAAATCAAAATTCTATTTCTCCTTAGCATATTATATTTTAATTAAATTCTTGAGCACAGTCAGTAACTGTGAAGTTATACAGTTGACAAAATCAATCATTAAGGAGTATAAATCTTCTGGATACTTGTCTAACACAAAGCACATAGTAATTAGTCAGTTTTGATAATAGTTTCACATATGTCCTAGGAAGAGGACACTCTGGCTCTCAATTTTAGCATTCTACTACATCAGTATTATTGTGAAGAGTATGCCAATTTTTTCAAGGTCCCACAAACTCATCAATACCTGGCTTAAAGTATCTTCTGTCTCAAGTAATTAATAATGACATCAACTATTTTTCTTAAAGATTTTAATTTAAAATATTCTATTTTGGAAAGTCATCTTCCTGTGATACTCTCTGACTCTGTGTGCTTCTCCTTCTCCCTCTTTCTCTGTCTCTGCCTCTGTCTCTCTCTCCACTCACAGAGGCATGTAACTTCAACAAAACAAAATAAAATGTTCACCCCACCAGCAACAGCCATTGGACCAACCTTATAAAGTAATGGCAATTTTCCTAATTTCAGGAGTGCAATCTTATTCGTTGTATTTTTCATTTTTTGTATCCTTTTTAAGTCATCTGCATTTCCATAACTCACATCAATGACTTCAGCCTGAAAGAGAAGAAAAGACAAAAAAAGTCTTGTAGGAAGAATTCTAGCAAACTGTCCATTTAGTGTGACAAAATCATTCACAATAATTTGAAATAGTCAAAGGAGAACTATTTCCACTCTTACCTTGACCTAATCACCACAACATGATCTTTCTATTTTTCTGTCAGGGTACAATTCTTCTGGTAACTTGAGAAAAAGTTTTAGAGTCATTTGAACCTTGCCCTCTCCCTTCTAGATAAGTTACAAACCCAATTCATTCCCCTAGCGGATGACCAAGTTTGGTACATTGTATATTTATGTTTCTGAAATTTGAATCATTTTACAAAATACTACAAGGTTAATTTCTTTAAAGCTCAACAACAATTACACCATTCCTTGACTTGAGAACAATGTAAAGGCTTTCAATTCTTTTCCAAACTAAACAAAGCTCATCACGTACAGCTGTTCAGGTGGTGCACATATTCAGTTGTGAATGACAACTGCTTGGGTTATGCAAGATACAACCTGTACAACCAACCATATGTGCCAGTCTGGCATTCAAGGATTTTAGAACATGATCCCAAACTACAATTTCAGTCATATTTCCCACTCCCATCCATATAGTTGTCTTATATTCTATATCAATATTTCTTATTTTTAAGAATCCCCTTTGATTACTGCTAAAATTTTATACCTTTCTAAGATTCTAATGGAATTCTCTAACATAGCTGCCCCTTTCCTTCTCCTTGAAAAGTACCACACCGAGGGTTCTATCAAACACATATTCTTATGAGCCAAGATGATTCCTTTCTGGTTTGGTTTCAATAATTTTTATTATTAAAATAGTAGTTGTTATGCTTTCCAGTGATAAAATTATATGAAATGTGCTGTTTCAAACTACAGCATATATACACTGAGGCATTAAGGAGCTAACATTAGGTATTAAGGTGGCAAACAATGAGAACAGAGTTGGGAGAATCCAGACCTATAAATTCCCACTCTTCTCAACTGGAGCTAATTACTTTTACCAGTTTTATGCAAAGGGCCTCCATAGAACACTCGTGTGAAGAAACAATTCTGTGTTTAGAAGAACATGTGAATACCACCAAGATACCAGCAGATCTGTTAGAGGAAACATTTCCGGCATGAAATATTCCCTTGGCCCTTTCATTTGCACCTTCAAAGCTTTACTGACACATTACAGCCCATTTCAAATGTTACCTACCTGATGAACTGTATTTCCCTGTTGCCCAAGTAAATGTGCCTTCTCTACTTTGAACCTGACTCTCTTGAGGACATCACTGGACTGCATATATATGTAGATAGATAGGTATATGTAGATAGATATATGTAGATAGATAGATAGATAGATAGATAGATAGATAGATAGATAAGATTTTGTTTTTCCTCAGCGAAGGGCCCATCATGCACGTTTCTCAGCCCTCATCCAGGTGTCCACCGTACGCTGTTAACTGTCTTAAACTGAAACGATTACAGTTCATACAATATCTCTAAAAAGTAAAGCTTTATTTTCAAATGGATTTCCTAAGAAAATATAGTTGTTAACACTTCTGTCAGAATGGCTTTGGGTTATAATTTTATTTCTATACAAAGTGATTAAATCAGTGCCTTATTAATACAATTTTTGAGTTTGCTTATACCATTATAATATAAATAACTGTTGATTTATTATTTTAAAAGCCTGATTAAATAAATGATCACATAATGTTAATAATCACATTGGAAAAATGAGAGAATTCATATTATTCATTTCAAAATTTCAAGCTACCTACTAATTATGTGTGATTCACTGATACCATATTAAAATAGGGATATCCCTCTCTTGGTTATATTAATGAACATATTTTTCATATCTAGTAGAGATTGGAGGAAAAGCATGCTGGTCTGGGCGGGTGTAGGCTAGACTTTGAACTTTTTGTTTGTATACATACCAGAAAGGTGTGACAGTTACAAAAATACCACTTCTGTAAAAGACATTTTATATCATTGGAAAATAGTGAAAGCTTGCCTCAATAATGGCAATTTTAATCAAAGAGCTCTTTCATTATCTTTCTTTAAATAGCATATCGGTAGAGTCAAGCATTTTAACATTAAGAGGCTTTTGTTTCTTTTTTTCACAAAAATAGTCCTCAACACAGCATCATTATATCAATTTATTTTGGCTTATGCACTTTGAGCCAATTTATTTTGACTTATGCATTAAAAATCAATAATTACAGAAATCAGTGTTCTCATGGTTTAACAGGTGATAATAAAAATGTATCTATTGCCTTCAAAGGATGCCTCTGAATCAGGTCCTTTCTAAAAGTCTTTCCTATTTACCTTTAAGCAAACTGAAAAATCACAGTTGCAAGAAAGCAACAGAATTTTCTGAGACACAAATCAATATACAATGATATGACAAAATGTCAAGCCACTTCTTTCCACACATTCTTGTTGCCACAATGAACCTTTTCTTATTGTATGTATTCTGTCACACTAGAAAATCATCCACTCAACCGGTTGGGGTACAGTGTTTAATTTATGTCCAAATACCAAGGATTTAGTTATATCTGACTAATCCCTTTGGAAAATATCAAATGAGCCAGAATCTATGTACTTGTTGAACTATTCATTCGTGTGCACCAATTTTTTCACTGAGGACTTCCCTGACATATAGGAGGGGGTAATGGAGAGGTTACAGAGTAAAATGAAACTAGTTCCATTTTGTTTTAAAATTTTTTAACTAGGGAGAGATATACAAAAGTCTACACATTAATTTTTATTTAAATTCTATACATTAATTTTTGACTAAGAACAAAGAACTTAAAACAGCAACAACAGCTGGGGAAACTGGATGGCTCAGTTGGTTAAGCGTCCGACTTCAGCTCGGGTCATGATCTCACAGTTCGTAAGCCTGAGCCCCGCGTCGGGCTCTTTGGTGACAGCTTGGAGCCTGGAGCCTGCTTTGGATTCTGTGTCTCCCTCTCTCTCTAGCCCCTCCCCCTCTCTCTCTCTCTCTCTCTCTCTCTCTCTCTCTCAAAAATAAAAAACATTAAAAAAAAGCAGCAACAACTAAAACAAAAAACCAAAAACAAATATTTTATACTTTATTAAAATATTATAGTATTGAAATGACAGCAGGGGGGATGGGCCATATAGAAGCAGCTAAGAGAATAAGTGGCACAGTTTAAAAATAAATACTAATATTAAAATACGATTATATTTTGTAGTAAGATATGTGATTAGAAGGAATCATAGCAGATAATTAGCAATAACAAAAATCAAAGCATTAAAAATTGATATTCTGTTACATCAGTGATTTTACAGCTCTACACACAAAAAAAAAAAAAAAAAAAAAATGGAGAAAATATCCTGAGCAGAAGCAACAGAAGGGAATAACTAAGAGCAATGAATAGAATTGTCATGTCCTATAGTCAGCTAAATAAAATAAACAGAACAATCATGGAAAGTAACTAGGTCAGAGAAAAATATCTGGGACCATCCACCTACAGGTGGCCTGTGCTCCACACTAGGGAACAATCCAGTGCCATGTTTCTCTTCTAACTTGAGGTAGCAAAAATTATTCATGCTTATGACATGATGTATGCTTTGAAACTTTTCAGACTTGACATTTTCAACCAAATCAATCACTCTGTATCCTCTCAGATCTTTTCTAATTGATTCTGAATGTACAGAATGTTTGAAAAGCATTGCTGCTTTGACTAAAACAGTAATTTTCTACTCAGAGTCAGAAATGGTAAACCCAAGCAGTTCTCATACTGACAAGGTACAGTATCATCACAAGTATTATTCACCTAAATACAAGTTTTACTTCAGAAATTTACTACCATCTTACATAATCTAGCTTTGAATCCTCTTCAAATTAGTGCTTATGTCTATTACAAACTTGTAAAATCAAAATGTGCTTCCATGTTTACCTCTGTCTTTTCCAAAAAGGGTTATTATGTTAATATTTATGAAGACTTCAGATTTCAGACATTCCTAGAATTTTATTAGTACTTCCTTTTCAAGTCCACTCAATGGCTTTCCATCATGCACATCTTTATGAAAACCACACTGAACTGAAGCATGAAAGGCAATACTGCTTCCTCCCGATCCTGTGGCAGACATCACTAATCAGACATCACCTTCTCAAATTCCTCAAGATGGTCTTCTAGCTGATCAAGACCAATTAGGGGTTGGCATAAGTAGGAAACTATATAAAGTATTTAATATTTTAATGTTAAATAATGATTGATATTAAATAACTTTTTAAATAATATTTAGTTATTTAAAATCTTTAATAACTAGAACACAAGTACTAATCAGTTAAAATGAGCTCCTAGCCAATCAGAAGGGATACCAGCTAGTGTGCTAAACTAGTACACCCCAAATGAATCCAGCACTAAGACATACACACAGTTTTGTGGTCTTTGGTGTAAAAGATTCATTTTCATCACTTTTTTTACATGTAATATATAAATTTGCTGGAAAAAAATATCTGCTACAAGGATATACTGAATGTAAGGCTTATTGACATGATGACCACATTTTTATGGCAGAAATAACAAAGATCAACCAGAGCAGTTAATTGTCTTGACACGCAGTAATTATTTTAAAAATTTGCAAAATGTTTTATAATCTAATATGTGCACACCCACCTAAAAGATGAAAAAAATTAAGTTAAAACTATTGTAATACAGAAATTTAACCAGAGTTAGGCACAGTTCTGTTAGGATTTTCTTATAGGGGTAGAGATCAGATTAGGATGGGATTTCAGGAAATTTATCAATGAAGGAAGCTGGTGGACCAGTGTCAGTTGCTTCAGAAAGTGGATGGAAGGTCAGTTGATACTTTGCAGCAATTACCCCAGAAGGGTTTACATCTGACATAATTTGAGGAAATTTCTTGAAAAGAATTTACCTCTGGATCTTCCATCAGCTCTATGTGAAAGGTGAACTTCATCTGACTAAGGAACTTCCTCTTTCAAACAGAAATCAGAAGGAAGTTCTCTGCCC